AAAAATAGAAAAGAGATACTAAAAAAGTTAGAAAAAAATATAAAAGTGGTTGAAATTTTCCAACTAATAAAAGATAGATAGAAGAATTGTCTTACTTTAACCCTTTTTAGCGTAATATAGCTCAAATTTATATTTCCATTTTACTATAAATAGCTAAAGAAAATATGAATTTGGTAGAAAATTATTTTCATATATTTTAGTTTATGCTAACAACAAGACAATACAGTCGTAACCTTAATCTCTGGCATGTGAGGACCAAACCTAACTAACTATTATTATTCTAGTACTAAAGAAGACAAAATAGTCATAATAAATAGAAGACCCCTAGTTTTTTTTTTGGCTTTAGAAAACATTAATTCTATATGCTTATTTGCCAATTATTCCGTTTGACTAAAATATAGAAAATTGATTCCATCTAGAGAAATCAAGCCAATCATTTATAGAAGATTCATTCCAAGTCACAATCTATTTTGTTTGGCGGGAGCGAAACACTCGCATACATAGCGGTACTTTCTGTTTGGCGCCACATATGGTGAGATTAATTGATAAGCAAATTCGAAACAGGATAGTCTCTCTCGACTATTCACATAAAGCCTCGGATCCGTACACTGCTTCAAACGTGGTTCGCAGTGTCCCCAATCCAATGAGCTACATGTTATGCTTTGTTTGTGCTCTGTTTTTTTAATGTCTGTAGCAGTTAATTATTTATGTACATGCACTCTCTTTTTGGATCAATAAATTACACATTCAATCAAAAAAATAAAATAATTGGGCCACTTGGCCCTTTGAAAAGTGTTTAAGGCTTTACTTTAGCTCTTAAATAATACGTACATAAAATTAAATTGACTGCGGAAGGCATTAGTTTCAGGTGTTTATATTGTTTATATTAGTTTTAGATCATGGCAACTAAGGATAGAGGAGCTATAATGGTCCTTTAAAACAAAAAAAAAAAAACAACTTAATTAATTTAAATGATTGTATTTGTAGTTGTAGAGTATATAAAATAAATGATAACCTTTATTAATTTTAATGATTTTATGTCATTTACTGATTGACGCAAATACATTAATATGTTCATCAACCAATGCTCTCACCAATTGTCTTTTAGTGTTAGTTTGAGTTCATCCTAATTTGTTTTGTAGGTAAACCAATAAATCTTTGTTATGATTTCACTTTAGTTACTATTTATCCAAATTTTAAAAATTAATAAAAAGACAAACATGTGAACATAATGTTCATATATATAAGTATAATTAACAAATGAATAATTATTCAATTAGGCGAAACAATATTATACCACAACACTTCTATAACCTGCATGCATGCATGAATTAAAAAAAAATAGATGGTATTCAAATTTTCTATGACTATTGATGTATCAAGCTTTCTAGTATACCAACAACGTACGTATATGAGTATGTAACCCTTCTCAATTCTGATAAAGCTTGATCTTCTTTTTCTCTTTCCCTTATTTATTTATTTACTTTCAATTAAAAGTTATTTGGTATATAGAATTAAGGTCATTTTCACAGCAAAATATTAATTGATTTTGTTTGGTTCGTTTGTAATTATAATGTGGTCCCAATCACTAGCATTAGTTGTCTTTTCCTCATTGATCATCACAAATCCATTGTTCTAAACTTATAATACACAAACTAATTAACCTTCACTTATACTAATACATGTAATCGATAAACAACAATAGTTGAAAAAACTTAATTTTGATATCAATCTAAACAGTTCAATGCAATGTGAATTGAAGCTATGATTCCGTAAAGTTAGGTTTAATTATTCACAAAGAACAATTCTTAATTGGGTTGTATTCGTTTCAAGAACATTACATTTGAAAGGTTGTTATGGTCATCTTTTCACATAAATTAATGAAAATTTCTTAATAGTTCAAAGAAACAATTATGTATGTGCAAGCGAAATAAATATATTAACTAAAACAAACCGGTAGATGAATGTAACTCTGTACCTAATTTATCATAATAATAATAATAATAATATATGTATCTTTTTTTTATATCTTTTCTTGTTTATTAGATAGCTTTTGTTTGTACTTTTATGAAAATAGTATAAAGACCAAAGTTATATTTTAAATATGGTCTAACTAGATCCATAGGGATGGAGAGAGAGAAGTAGATTTTGACAACAAAAAAATATTATTTGAATTTTTCCCATACAATAAAGATCAAAATAATTAAAAAGAAAAAAATTATTTGATCCTTGCAAATGAAAATTTGCACTAGTAAGTAGTGTACTTTTTTTTTTTAAACATCTATCTTTCATTCAAACGGTATACGGATGATACAAAAGGTTCACCAACCAAAAGGGTGGTACAGTAAATGTTTGATACATGGAGTTCATAATTGCAGCATGTCGAGAAAGAATATCTGCAGCTGCATTTTTCTCTCTGTTGATGTGAGCTATGGAAGCTTGTGGTAATTTTCTCGTCCAGTTTCGTATGTCATAGAGGAGTGGTCCAAGATCAAGGCGATCTCCATTCGTATTAATCAGATGAACCAATTCCTGATTGTCACCTTCAAACCAGACACAACGATACCCGCTTGCCCATATGACTTGAAGAACATGAAGAAAGCCTAATGCTTCTGCTTGTAGAGCTGAGTGAGCTTTTTGTAATCTTGCACATCCGGACGTAATCATCTTTCCATTGCAGTCTCTGAGAATCCATCCTGTCGGAGTGTACTCACTTCCTTGAACAAAGCCACTATCAAAGTTACATTTTACCCAGCCCATCGGTGGCGGTTCCCATTGTCTACTTCGAGTTCTTCTTTGATGTATGTTAGAAGATTGATTAGTATTACTCACCTCCTGTGTACTGTTTTGTTGCGCTTCAAGCCATTCATTTGCTTCCTCGATACCTTTTCTTGCCTCATGACTCGGATGTCGATTAATTTTTCTGAAAAGGAAATCATTTCGAGATTTCCAAATTCTCCACATCAACCAAAACGGTAAGAGACCTTTGTTAGTTGGTAGGACTGAGCTTTGTTGAAGCTGCAATAAAGTTTGTACGTTGATCTCGAAATCATCTCCAAATGTGAACTGTCTTCCTATCTCTGAGGTCACACATCGCCAAACTGCTTGAGCATGGGAACAAGTAAAGATGATGTGGTTGATTGTTTCTGCGTTTTGGCAACATCTTTGACATGTTGGATTTGCTGGGATGGATCTGGTTTGGAGTTGCGTTGCCGTTGGGACCGCTCCTGATAAGCACCGCCAAACAAAATGTTGAATCTTTGGTCCTATCTTGAGTTTCCATATCTCCTTTTTCAAATCAATGTGGCCAGCCGGAGGTTGAATGATCTCGTCTTCCTCTAAATCTATGTGCGTAGCGACCCAATAACCAGACTTCACTGTGTATTGAGCATCCTTTGTATACACCCATTCATGGCAATCTCGATCAGCATATTGAGAAAGGAATAACTTCTTTGCAAGTTGTTGGTCCTCTGGATTTAAAACTCCTTCAAAGATATTTTCATCCCACTCTCTTTTAGTGTCCTTCCATAAGTCTGATACCCTCATGTTATTATCCAGAACAGGTCCATTTGCTGGCCGGGGTGGCAAAGATGGTAGCCAAGGGTCCTCCCACACCCGTGTATTTTTTCCATTGCCAAGTCGAAAGCGAGTACCTTTGAGAAGTAACAGCTTGCCCTCTTGAATTGACCGCCAACCATATGAAGCTTGGGTACCTGTTTTCGCTTGCAAATAGTTTGAGTGAGGGAAATACATACCTTTGTAGATTCTGGCCAGGAGGCTAGTAGGTTTAGTTAGGATTCTCCAAGCTTGTTTTGCAAGGAGAGCTTTATTGAAGTTGTGTAGATCCTTAAAGCCAAGACCTCCTTCATTTTTTGGGATAGACATTCGTTTCCAGGCCACCCATGGGATCTTTCTTTTTCCTTTATCCTCACCCCACCAAAATGAGGATATGACACTGATTATTTCGTCACATATGGTAATTGGTAACAAAAAGCAATTCATAGAGTAGACCGGTAGAGCCATTGCGATGGACTTGATGAGTATCTCTTTTCCCGCGGGGGATAGATACTTATGAGTCCATCCTTCTGTTCGGTCTTTAACTTTTGTAACTATATACTCAAACATCTCTACCTTTTTCCTGCCAAATTGTTCCGGAAGTCCCAAATATTTTCCGCCGCCTCCCACTTTTGAAATTCCCAAAATATGTTGAAGTCGCTGTCTCTTTTGCTCCAGGAGCTTAGAACCAAAGATCATCGAAGACTTCTGATAATTTATTTTCTGACCTGAAGCCTGCTCATAGGTTTCAAAAATTGCCGCTAACTGTTGACAATTTGATGTTGAAGCTCGGCAAAAAAACAGAGAATCATCCGCGAAGAGAAGGTGTGAAATCGAGGGGCAGTGCTTCGTTAATTGAATACCTTGAAGTTTTTTATCTCTCTCTGCTCTCTTAAGCATAGTACTCAAAACATCCGCACAAAAAAGAAAAAGATAAGGGGATAACGGATCACCTTGTCGAAGGCCCCGCGATGGTCGAATATGTCCATATGGTGAGCCATTGATCAGAACCTCGTAGGAGACTGTAGATATACACGCCATTATCCATTGAACCCATCTTGAATCAAAGCCTAACTGAATCATAACCCGTTCCAAGAAATTCCATTCAACGCGATCGTAAGCTTTACTTATGTCAGTTTTGACCGCCAAATAATCACTTTGAAAAGCTCTCTTTGATTTCAGAGAATGAAGAATCTCGTGTGCAACCAAGATGTTGTCGGAGATGTTTCTTCCCGGGACAAAGGCGGCTTGAGATTCAGAGATAACAGAACCGAGACATTGTTTTAACCTCATGATCATTACCTTTGAAATAATCTTGTAGTTTACGGTACACAAACTAATGGGTCGAAAATCTGCCATATGTTTTGAATCTGTGATCTTTGGGATTAGGCAAAGCTGAGTTTGGTTTATCTCCTCATCCATCTCCCCTGTTTCGAAAAATCGTCTTACCATTGCACAAACATCGTCTCCAACTTCATCCCAAAATTGATGGTAGAAAGCCGCTGAGAAACCATCAGTTCCCGGTGCTCTATCTGCTCCTATTGAGAAGGCAGCATCTTTTATTTCCTTATTTGTGACTGGGAGAAGAAGTTTTTTGTTCATAGCCTCTGTTACTCGCGGGTCAATATCGGAGATTATCGCTTCCATATCTGAATGTTGAGACGTAGTAAACAGCTCGGAGAAATAGTTTTCAGCCACTTTACCTATAGCATCGTCACGGAAATGTTCCACACCTTGATCATCAATGATTGATTTGATTCGGTTCCTCGACTTACGGACTTTACAAGCAGCCTGGAAATATTTAGTGTTACGCTCACCCAATTTCAACCATTGATTTATGCTTTTTAGCTTCCAGAAGGTTTCTTCTTCTCTGTATGCACGATTAAGCTCACTTCGCAGGCGATTTAAAGTTGCCAAAGGTGTCGATATGTCTCTTTCTGCAGCATCTATGCGATGTTTTAGAATGTTAATCTGTTCCGCTGAATTTCTCTTTGTGCTTCTCTTCCACTTTGCGATTTCTTTACGACAACACCGCAGTTTGTGTTGAATATCTCCGTGTGCATCTGTTCTACCAAGTCTCCACCCACGTTTGACAGAAGCAATAAAATCCTCAGATCGGGAATGACGTTTATCGTACCTGAATTGTCCTCTTTTGACACAAACCTCCTCTGCGATGTGAATAATAACAGGGGCATGATCTGACCCGGCGATTGGTAGAAATTCTGTTTCTGACGCAGGATAGATGGCTTGCCAATCCGTATTAATGAAGGCTCTGTCCAGACATGATTCAATAACTTCTTTTTGTCGTTTACCAACCCAACTGTACGGATTACCTTTGTATCTCAGGTCTTTCATATTACAACATGAGAGCATGTTCTGAAAATTCTTTAAGCTGCCTTTGCTCCGAACACGACCGCCCTTTTTCTCTTCAGGTAATATGATCTCATTAAAATAACCTCTTCAGGTAAATAGATGTTTAAAAAAAAAAAAAAAAAAAAGTAGTGTACTTTGAATTTTTTTAAACTATTTAACCTTTTGAAAACTAATTATCTTTTTTCAATTGTTAGAAATAAACTCATTAAATCCAAGAAAAATCGTTTTTGTAATTTTTGAATTGTTCAATAAGAATCAAAATTTTAGGAGTTAAATCAACATTGAATCGCTGTTAGGGTATGATTGGTGGGAAATGAGGATAAAAAAATAGAAAATGAGATACAAAAAATGTTAGAAAAAAAAAAATAGAAAAGTGGTTGAAATTTTCCAGCTAATAAAAGATAGATAGAAGAATTGTCTTACTTTTACTTTTTTTTTTTGCGTAATATAGCTGAAAGGTATATTTCAATTTTACTCTAAATAGCTAAAGAAAATATGAATTTGGTAGAAAATTATTTTCATCCATTTTAGTTTATGCTAACAACAAGAAATACAGTCGCAACCTTAATCTCTGGCATGTGAGGACCAGATCTAGCAATTAGTAGTCTAGTACTACTAAAGAAGACAAAATAGTCATAATAAATAGAAGACCCCTATTTTTTTTTTTTGGGCTTCAGAAAACATTAATTATATATGCTTATCTGCCAATTATTCCTTTTGACTAAAATATAGAAAATTGGTTCCATCTAGAGAAGTCAAGCCAATCATTTATCAGTACAGGAAATTAGAGTATTCATAGCATCTGAAAACCGTTATTTTATGATATTAGAGCGGTATAGAAAACGCTATATCTGCGCCCGTTATAGTAGGTCCGACACTTTACATAGCAGTTTTTGTATCTGCTATAAATTTTTTTGATAACATAGCGTTTTTTCATATGCAATATTTAAATAAACGATAGCGATAATTATTTGTTATTAATATATTTAATTATTTGTATATATATATATATTGTAATACGTAGATATTGTGTATTTTATACAAGATTGTATTTGTGTATTTATACAATATTATATACAGTATTTATACAATATTATATACATTATTTTGTTTTTATTAATTTCTAATTACATTTAATTTATAATTTATTAAGTTTTTGGATAAATTGACATATTAAAAATATCATATTGTAATATATTATATGAATGCATAATACAAAATATTATATTACTTGTAAATTACAAAATTAAAAAGTAAAAGTACATATGGTATTTGCATTTATTAAATCCAAAAAAATTCAAATCTTAATTCCATTAAAGTCTAGAATTAAGTCTTAAAACATTGAATATTAATTCCAATGGCGTCTCTTCATCTCCACAGAACGAGCATCTCTCCTTCTAGCTGCTGGAATTTTATTTAAAATCTGTGAAAAATAAAAAAAATCAAAACAATTTTTTTTTAAACTTTAAAAAGTAAAAAAATAAAGAAACCATAATAAAGAGGAGATGGAAATTTGACCAGGATGCAATTAGAGATAGGATGGGCGAGAGGGAATTATTGGATAGTTAATTCATGGGCTTTGTCAATTACTTTTGAATGATTTGGTTAAGTGGAACTCCGATCATGTGTTGGGCTTCGATGACGGCGGTTGTCTGTGCGTAAACAAACAAAACAAAGAAACTGGATTAGGACTCCAGAAACATAACAATAACTACGGTTTCTGTTTAACTAACACGATTTAAGAAACATGTCAAAGAATATTAGTAGCCGAGAAATAAAACCCAGTACCAAATCAAGGGAAGATTATCAACAGTGAGTGGCTGCATCTAGATGATTCATAACATCTCAGGAGATTGAGAACAAAAACTTCGATTATGGCAACAACAAATCGAGATTCAACAAAAACAAAAGCAGGCAAGACTATCACAAATCGGAGAAGAACTTGCGAGGGAGAGAAAGAGAGATTATAGAGGCGTTTCAAAATTTGATATTTTACTTACAATCAATAAACACGAAATCAGTTTATAAAACACTTATCAAACTCATTCAACCCAAGTACGAATCAAACCCATAAGAAACCGAGAACCAAGTAAATCAAACAAAATCGAACAAGAAGAGTTATATGGCAGAGAGCCAGCAATGGCTAAGAGAGAAACCGGAGGACGAGTGGTACAAATGAAAGCCAGCCATGGCTAAGAGAGAGGGAGGGGAAGCCAGAGATCTCGTAAAAAGAATGTAATCTCGAGAAAGATGAGAGAATGTTAAGAGGTAGAGAAGTGAGAGAACTAAATCTGTCCGTTGATTTTACTGTTATCAACGGTGGATATCAAATCAGGTGTGATCCTCACCTTTAAGAATTAGCCAATCAGAAACAAGTCTGCGTATTTGTATTTTAAAAGGTTTTCCTTATGTTATTTTTTCTAATTAGTAGATTAATTTCTAATATGTGATAAATTGATAAAAGATAAACTAGAGTATATCATAAAACTATTTGAAAACATATCTAATAATCAACTTCATTTGAAAAATAATTATATTTAAATTTTATAGTTTTTATGTGTGAATCAAGTTTATTGGTTAAGATTCATAATTTAGGGTTTGGCTTTTAAGTTTTAATATTTAGAGTTTTGAGTATAGAATTTTGAACGTGGTTAAATTCATTAATCCATTTATATTTCTACTTTTAATAACACTAAAATATATAAATTAAAGATCATGAATTCAACCTCAAACTCCAATACCCTAAACCCTAAACTTCATACCCTAAACCCCAACACTATACCCTAAAGGTTAAATTAAAGATCATGATTCTTTTTTTTGTTTATTTTGTATTTTGTAAATTTAAATCTTAATATTGGTTGTGTATTCTTTATATTTTGAAAATCTAAATAAATAATTTATTTTACTCTGAATCAACTTTATTTGCAAAATAGTTATATTTTGGTTTTATAGCTTTTGATTTACATGTACGAGTGTAAAGTTTGGAAGTTTAATTTTAAGATTTAGGTTTTGAAGTTTAGAATTTAGAAAGTGATTAAATTTATTTTGAATAAGTATAAATCGACTTTAGTTTTTAGCTTTCTGGATTGAAAAAATAATTATACTTAAAATCTTTTTATAAGTGTTTTTGTATTACTTCTGTTATTAATAATTATATAGAAGATTCATTTTCCATAGAGATCTGTAAAATCACAAATATAAAGAGACTTGGGCCACCTGGCCCTTTGAAAAGTGTTTAAGGCTTTACTTTAGCTCTTAAATAATACATACATTAAATTGACTGCGGAAGACATTAGTTTTAGGTGTTATATTATTTTAAATTGAAGCAACGTAATAAGTAGTATTAGTATAGTGGCATTCTCTTTAGTTAAATTGATTAAGATGATTCCAAGTCTTTTTTTTTTTTTGCGTGTAATTTACTTAATTTACTAGGCATTTAATCAAATGACCTAATATTAATAAATACTATTTGTTTTTAATAAATAAATAAATATTATTTTTGATCAAAGACTTTAGAAAGATACTAAGGGGGGCTTATTGGGATGTTGATTTCTAAAGGCTTTAAAAATTTTAAGATTCCATTGTTATTGTTTTGTGGATTCTTATATTCTTAATAAAATTGATGTTATTGGTGTTGTGATTTTGCAATTCATTTAAAATACGTATGGTGTTATTGGTGTATGGATTTTGTCATTCTATTTAGAATCTTTCGTTATCCAAAAATTTGTCTATTTATTGATTTTGCAATTCTATTAAACTCTAATGTTATTGGAACAATGATTTTTGACATGTTTACTCGTTGACAACAACTTTCAAAATACTCTAGTTATCCTATGTATTTTAAAAATTTCTATAACAAAACACCTCCCGTTTTCACTATCTAATCATCGGCTCCGAAGTAATAAACACAGAAAATCCAAACATTCAATCCATAAAATATAGCAAACAAAACCCATACCAAAAACCCATGTTCGTTAAAAGAACAAAAATCAAAAACAAATCAAAGCCACGTTCGTTAACAAAATTCTCAACAGTTTTTTGCCATCTGCAACTCAATTTTTTCCATCAAACCTGCATAAAACACACATTGGTTACATGCACGTGTCTTTCAATTAAACACAAGTAAAATGAACAATAGCTTAGGTTTCCACTAATATACCTCATCATCGTTGACTTCCAGTTCCTACTGCATCTGCCCACATAGTAGCTGCCATCGTGTCTCTCCAATTATTAGCATATTCTCTTTGTTGAGATTCTAGACCGCCTAAGTTTCCAATTTCTTCAAAATTAACTTGCATGCTCATTAGTTGTGTTGATTACTTCTTCAGGAAAAGCATCCGACCGGCAATGCTTACGTAAGAAATTATGTAGTCCAGCACAAGCTAAAACCAACTCTGCTTGTGTTTTAAAGGAAAAAGGAGGTGCTGACTTGAAAATCAAAAACCGAGATTTGAAAATACCAAAGATCCTCTCGATTACATTTCTCAAAGATGCATGCCGGAGATTGAACAACTCGTTCTGGTTGTGGGGATCACGGCCTTCACCTCTAAACTCTTGTAGATGATATCGAGTACGTCGGAAAGGAGCTAAAAATTTTTGACGATTTGGAAATCCACAGTCTACTAAATAAAATTTTCCTGAAATTCAGTTAGCATATGATTAAAATCATGTGTATATATAAAAAAATTTTACTATTAACTTTTTGTATACTATAGCTTAGGTACATACCGTCTGGAACATGTAATCTGCTGGTGTTTCTTGTCAAAGCATTGCTTAGAATTTTTGAATCATGAGCTGAACCCTCCCATCCACTAAGAACGTACATGAATTCTAAATCGAAGTTACAAGCAGCAAGGACATTTTGTGATACAAATCCTTTTCGATTACGGTAGCTAGGAACATCGGAACTTGGTATCATCGCAAAAATATGTGTGCCATCAATAGCTCCGATGCAATCCTAGATCAATTTAAATTCTCTAATAAAACAGTAGGTAACAAAACATTTCATATTAATTATAAGAAAAAAATCATAACTAAGTTGAATTTATATACCTTGAAATAGGGATAAAATCTTGTGCTCTCACTTATCTTTGCAGATGTTGTAACTCCAGGCTTCACCATCAAATCTGGTGCTATGGTATTTAGAGCTCTTAAAACCTTGTGAAAATTTTCACTTATAGCAAACATTGATCTCTTGAATGTGTCTTTTGTGTAACCATATCTGGAACTTTGACCCACAGTTAGTAGAAATGTGGCCACCATTTCTTCAACGCATATATGACGAGTATCTCTTAGACATGCCTTCAATCTGATAAGCTCACATAGCTTCCTAAATGAGCTTGGATACATACGATACACTAATCGAAAGTGAACAGGATCCTCTTTGAGAACATTTTCAATGTAAGCATAGCCAATGTCAGAGATCGGCCGACGAATGGGACGTTCAATGCTATCGACATTCTTTGCATAGGCATTCGCTATATTATTCAACATTAATAGCATAACGTCCAAATCTGATTCGTCATCTTCGATTTGGTTTGCTTCCTTTTCAACATATATTTTTTCTTCATCTTCAATAGTGCTTTCCATGATAATACACCTACAAAAAAAATATGGTTAAAAGAATATTTGTATCTGAAGCCTTAAATAGAGAGACACATATGATAAAAGACGTCCCATGGTATCAAGAAGCAAGACTCAACCAAGTCACGAGCAAAGAAATGATAGTGGCTATAAATATTATTAATTCAACGAACAGAAAACAACAAATTTAAAATTCAGTCTCTTATTAATAATGAAAAAAACAAAGCTAGTAAAAAAAAATAGGAACGGCCAATTCTCCCCTGAACTTAGTTGCTTTATCGTATTTATACACGAAACTTTGAAGTGTGCTTAAAACTACATGAACTTAACTAAAATTTGAATTTTCTACACGAACAATCTTAATCTAGTCAAAACCAACAAATCGAAAAACAGTGTTAATGTTCCGTTAACAGATGATGACTAGGATGAGAGCAAAATATTATAAAATCTGGGTTTGAACCAGTGACCTCTAACTTGAACAATGAAACTTAATACCGGTTGGGCTAACACAATTTAGTTACCAAAATCAAACATATATATATATATATATATAGATGATGCAATAATTTAAAAATAATAAAACTAAAATAACGAAGACGTTTTTCTCTCTTTGCTTTCATCTTTCTCCGATCTTCGTCTTGTGACTGTAATTATAATCCTCTTCATCTCTACGTTACATGCAAAAGATTGGATCGAGAACTGGGATTTCTTTGGTAGATTAGAACGAATTTGATTAAAATCGTGTATCAAATCCAATCCTAAATAGTTTCAGCCCCGGCTCTAACAATCGAGAAGCCTTAGGGCGACTTACAAAAAGGGCCTTTTCAAGCATGCTAAAAACAAAAACCATTTCATATAATCATGTCTTAAGCTCCATGTCTTCATCTACCACATTCCTTTATATTGCATCATATCTCATGCATCCTTCTTCCGTTGGATCTAAAACAACAAAACAAAACACAATAGTTATTTCGGAATAAAGAAACGATTTTGACGAGCTCTAGTTGACGCAAACTCATGAATGACAGTTTCAAAGTCTATGCTTTCTAACAAACTTTTTTCAATGCATAGAATAGCTAGACCATTCAACCTTTGTTGAGACATAGAGGACCTCATATAATTTTTTAATAACTTCAATTTTGAGAAGCTTCTCTCGGCCGAAGCTACCGTCACGGGTGTTGTTAATAGGATTCGATAAGCAATTGAAACATTCGGATAACAACCTACATTTTCTACAAACTCAAGCACTTCACTAGGTGTCATTGACACTTGGGATAAACACATTTGCAAAACTTTTAATTCTGAAAAAAAATCATTAAAATCAACATCCGAGACATTATCATGAGAAAATGTTTTGTGAAAATTAATGCAATGCTCTTTTAATTCACTTTCATCAAGTGATTTTAATTTCAATGAATCAAACAAAAATCCAAATACACTTTTAAAAGTCATCATTTGTTCAAATCTATTCTTTACCGAAGAAATTGCCATATCCACAACAACAAGAAAATAATTGACTCTAAAATCATCTTCGACCGATAATGCTTCTTCATCATGATCATTCTCATCAAAGTGTTTTTTTCTAAAGACACGACGCCTACTTGGAAATATAGGATCAACATTCATATCATGAGCAAGACCTTGAGCTACTTTCAAACAAGAACTAAACCCTTCATCTCGATACTTTTCAAAATATAAGATTATACCTTCTAATTGTTTTATAGCACTATCAATGCATATCGATTTGGATTGTAAGCTCTTGCTTACCGTGTTCATGACAAACAAAATTTCATACCAAATAGTCATACCAAGTAAAAACTCATAATTCTCAAGTGAATTTACTAAACTTTCCGTTTCACTTTTTGTTATGGCATCATCACATGATTCATATAGATCGATTAAAGCTAATCTCACTTGAGGAGCTTGAAACCTAATAGCTTTGACACTTTTTATTCGGCTTTCCCATCGAGTATTAGAAAAAGATTTCATAGTTAAGTAAGGAACATGATCAAGCAAAATTTTCCATCTTTTTGTAGAGCTAGAAAATAATACATATATTCGTTGCAATGCTCCAAAAAAAGAAATAGCTTTCACACAAGAATGAGCCATATCACTTACTACAAGATTTAGACTATGACAAGCACAAGGCATATATATGCTTTTGAGTTATGTCAACAATCTCTTTTGACCCTTGATGCTTTCCTTCATATTGGCCATTATATAAGCTAGCTCTAATTTCTAATAAAGTCCTCCAGTAGTATGCACATATCCGAGTACTGGCGTAGTCTTCTTCTTTTTTCTTTTTTTCTCCTTTTTCTCTTTCTCCTCCCT